AAACATGGCAGGCAGACAGAGCTTAAGTGACAAGTTTTATTAGAAAGCAGAGGGAGGGAGAGGGAAATTTTCTTTCCCACATAAAACATTTTTAATTGACTGTTACCAATTTATCAACTAAGACATAACAAATCCCGGAAATCAAGGAAAGACAGCCTCTGGCTCACCATCCCTCTCTAACAGGCTAGCATCTCCATGGACTCACCACCTCTCTCCATTATCTTTATCAACCCCCTCCCCTCATGGCTCCTGTTTCCATTTTAAAGAGGAGATAGAAAGACTGGATATGGTGGCACACTTCTTTAATCCTAGTACATGGGAGGCAGAGGCAGCCAGCTCCAAGTTGGGGCTAGGGGGGGGGGGGGGGGGGGGGGGGGGGGGGGGAAGGCTTTTAATCTGTTTTCACTACAATACCTCTATGAGAGCAAGAAACTACATTTGTAGCATTGATCAAGGAACCCTCACCCTGCCAGGCTCATGTTGGCAACAGAAAACAATACTAAGTTTGAATCCTGGCACAGGTCTAACAAAAGAACCAGTGGAGGTGAGGTAGAGGCATTTTGGAGGGTGGGGGTTATGTTGCACCTTTGTTTTAAATAGCTTTATTGAGTGTAATTGACACACAATAAACTACACATATTTAAAGTACAGTGTGGGGAAGTTTGGAGCTATTACCATAATCAGGATACTGGACATATTCACACCCAAATTTTCCTTCAGATTCTTAACTTTAAAAAAGTAATTGTGTGTGGTGTGCATGTATGTGTGCACATGTATGTGCATCCATGTAGAGGCCAGAGGTCAATGTTGGTTGTCTTCCTCAATTGTTCTCCATTTTTATAAAGATTTTGTTTATTTGTTTATTATTATTATTTTTAAAGATTTTATTTATTATGAATACAACATTCTGCTTCCATGTATATCTGCACACCAGAAGAGGGCACCAGATCTCATAATGGAAGGTTGTGAGCCACCATGTGGTTGCTGGGAATTGAACTCAGGAGCTCTGGAAGAGCCGTGGTGCTCTTGGATGGAATGCAGATCCTTGTTCATGCACCGTACCCCTGAACCCTCCATCTCTTCAACCAGACTCTCCTCCATCTCTACCTCCCATCATTCTGTGCACTCTCTCCCTCCACGACTCCCATCTCTCCTCACACCCAGACAACTTCTTACCCTGCTCACTGTCCCCTCAGAATTTCCTAGCATTTTATAGAAATGTAATCATACAATGTATCCTCATTTAGGGTTTGGCTCTTCCACTGGGTACACATGGGATCTATTCACACTGTACCTTGTTTCAGTAGTGTGTTCTGGTTTATGGCTGAGAAGCATTTCAATATATAGACTGACGATTCAGCAGTTTATCCCATTTCCAATGATGCTGGTATTTCAGGGGTTTAGCAGATGGGGGTGACATTTAGGTAAGAGGCTGAGGAGCTACTTTCCACAGACCTGGATCATTTATTTTGTGGGTGCTGCTGTTTTGGCAGTGAGGTGTCCAATTATAGTTACGATTTTGCCATCAGTGTCTCTGTGTAGAGTGGCCCCTTCCTTATCCACAGAGGAAGCAGTCCAAGACTGCAGTGGGTGCCAGAAACTGTTGATACTGAACCTTGTGTGTACTGTTTATTTATGTGAATTTTGCCTATATGTATACATATACATATGTGCAATGTACTAACATATGAGAAATTTTGTTCTATAAATTAAATATAGCAAAAGTAACAATAACAAGGATAAACCATAATAATCAGAATGAGACATTATAATAAAAGTGATCTAAAACACATAATTTGTTTATTTCTGGAATATTCTATTCAGTATTTTCAGGTACTGGTTGATCATAAGAAACCAAAACCACAGGGACTGAAATTGTGACTAAGTGGGTTCTACTATACAGCTCAGTCCTCAAGCCAGAGGAACTGTGTCTCACATCTTCACATCCCTCCCCCCCCCAGTACTGCATGTTTGGGTTCCTGTTAGGCTCCTGACCTGCCATGTTCTGCATCTTCCACCACCTTCTCACTCTTTCCCCTGCTCCCTTGATTCCATGTCCCCAGTGTGCAGCCAAACTGAGATACTCACTATTCATGCCAGCATGAGGCCTGGAACTTCCTCTCTGTCCTGCTTATGCTCAGACCTCACTACCTGCCCAGTCCCTGTCTGTTCCCTCAGGTTTTATGGCAGCCTCATCCCCCGCTCTGCTCATCAGCATGACAGTCTTCATGGAGCAGATTTGAGAGGCGACAAAGAGTTTGACAACACAGAATTGACAGCCTCAATGCAGACCTGCCAGATGTAAGAAGTTAATGTATGCCAGAGGAGGCATCACAGACCGGGGAAGAGAATAAATGGCATAGGAACAATGGATGGGATCTTTGGGGGGAAAATCAATATAGATAATTATCTCAGCCTCCTCCAAATTAATTCCAGGTTTATTGGTGAGGTAATCTAAAAAAGAAAGAAACAAAGAAAGGAAGGAAGGAAGAAAGGAAGAAAGAAAGAAAGAAAGAAAGAAAGAAAGAAAGAAAGACAGAATGAAGGAAAAGACCCAGGGGGAATGACTAGGGAATATTTATCAAGTCATTGGGAGAGGAAGAGTTGTTTCCTTAACTTGGATTTTCATGATGTTCATAATGGGGAAAAAAATCAACAGTTTTTTAAAAAAAATCTGTTCAGCTTCTGCATGTTAAAAAAGCAACCCAAATAAAAGGGTTGAATATGGTCAGTGAGGGCATGGTGTTTCCTCATGCTATGACCACAGGAGGGGGCCCCAGGGCTATGAGAAGCCAGAGGTTTAATAGCCCTGCAATGTATTATTATTAACATGAGCATCTCGCATCCCCGGACAGTCTGTAAGGTAGGTAAGGCCAGTCTTATTTGACAGTTGAGGAAACGGAGGCTCACAGAGGGGTTGGGAGAGAGCATGGGAGTCAGGATTTGACTACCCTGGGCCATCTACTTCCCATGCAGCCAGGCTGCCCCTCTAAGTGTGTCCTTGGCAAACAAAAAGGCAGCTTCTGGCTGAGGCGATAACTGGGTTGGTAAAAACCTTGTGTTATTAGAGTGAGCACCTGTGCCACTAAAAAGGCAGTGTGGTAGCAAACTCCTATAAATTCAGTGCTGGGAAGAAACAGACGGAGATTCCTGGGAATCACTGGGAAGTCAGTCAGCAGGGCCTGCTTCTTGAGCTCCAGTGTACTAGAGACCCTGTTTCAAAAATCAAGGCGGATGGCTACAGTGTAACAATGTCTGAGATTCATCTTCAGCTTTCACATGCACCTGTATGCTAATATACACACACACACACCCCCACACACACACACACACACACACACACACACACACACACACACAGACTCACACAGATAGACACCCAATAGCCGACAGACATGCAGAAACAGACACACATACATATACACACAGCCAGCCAGATATATACATACACACATACGTACACAGACACACACACACATACACACACACAGACAGACACACAGAGACAGACATACAGACATGCAGATTCAGACACACACACATACATAAATATTTATATATACACATAGACAGACACATACATACACACAAACACATAGACACACATAGACAGACAGACAGACAGCCCACACTGTACCTCCTCCCCAGCACACACAACAGGCAGGTTTTTGCCTCTGCAGCCTGACCCCCAAAGGACCCCCATTTTGAAGAGTATGAGTAAGGAGCTACAAGAAAACAGTGAAGACTAAGAAGAGGGGAACAGAACCGACTCAAAAGACAGAGTGCTGGGCAAAGAAACAAAAACCTGGCCTTGGAAAAGAGATGTGTGTCTATGGTTTCCCTTAGGAGCTTCCTAGAGAACTGTCCTCAGCCCCCATCAGGTAATCCAGCCTCTGAATGGATCAGTACCTATGCAATATTCATGTGAGCATCCCAGGCTCCATCCTTTCATGTCAGAGAGCTAGACTACCTGTCCCCTAAAATCCTTTGTCTCTCCCAATCTTGTCCCTTATAGCTGCTGACTGGTGTCTAAACCCAGTGATAATTTATGTTAATATAATCCATTTTAAAGTGTGATGGGGTGGGGTGGGGGGCTTGGTTCAGTACCCTAATCAGGAATCTAGGCTTTGAGGTCCTTACTGAGTCTCTGAAGTGCCCCAATCAAGAACACACTCCAGAAATGCCATTTGATTACTGCTTTTTGAAATCTAGCAAGTGCATCATTAACTATACAAGGTATGACTGGGGAGGGTGGGGAGGGGAAGTGGATGCTGAAGCCTGGCCAACTGGAAAGTCTGTGGGAGCCTGTAGGAGCAGGCAGCCCAGCCTTTGGAAATGCATGTGGCTTCTAACAGTCACTTGACCCTGTCTTCTCCCATTTTCCTGAACTATCAGTGTCCTGACCCTGGCTCAGAATACTGTCCACTGGGGGGTGCCCCTCAGACTGTTGGAATGTCTGAGAGATGGGTCCTTCTCTGAATTCAAAAGAGTGGACTGCACTGTGTTTAAAGCTCTTTGTTAGTAAACTGTGGCACATTTGGCAGAATGTGGTCTTGGGCTCCCTTCTGAGACCTGGTAACAAGGCTGTAGGGGACAATGTGTGTAGACACCACTGGATCTCATGCCAGAGGCCACCAGCAGTCACACAGCACTGCTCTTTAATTGCAGAGTCCAGTCCCATTTGCCCCTTACTTTTTGCCGTTGTCATACAATTATCTTGAAAACATTTTCAGCTTCCCTTTATGGCCTTTGAATTCTAAAATTGTAAACTGTGTTACACAAGGAAAGGGTTTGCTTATTGAGAATGTTTCTATTGTCTTGTATGTATTATCAAGTATTTAAGCTCTTGGTTTCTTACAAAATGTTCTTTGTGGAGTGTTGAAGCAAGTGGGTTACCAGAGTCCTAGGCTCAAGAATATAGGAAATAGTTCAGTTTTTATGTAACTTTGTTTTACTAGAATAGAAATTTGTTCAACTTATGAAATCCCCTTCAGGCCCTGAAGAAAGCTGACAAGCAGGTCCTGGAGCCACTGATGAGTCTTGAGGTCACAGTGACTGGAGATTACCTCAGCCCTGTCCTGGCAGATTTGGCACAAAGAAGAGGGAACGTTCAGGAAATTCAGACTCGCCAGGACAACAAAGTTGTTATAGGATTTGTTCCTTTAGCAGAGATGATGGTAAGTTCTTAGTGTTTAAACTGTACCCATTGCTTAATATAGGAGATCTACTCTCAGTAAAACCAGGTGGTTGCTAACACCTGAGGGCATCGGGGCTTGGCTTGGGAGAATGTATGCCAAGTTTCAACCAAGAATGATAGGACTTTGGCCATCGGTGGTGGGTGAGAGCTAGGGGACACAGCGCTTTAGGCAGGTTATTTCCACCTTAGGACGACAAAGATTATGGCATACTGTCCCAAATGTGGTCAGTCTGAATGACCATTTTCCCCTTTCTACCTTAGTTTTGAAGCCAACATCATTCTCAGGAGCAAAAGAACCCAACCATGTTCTTTTGCTCCTGGGATAGGCACTAGGGGTACCAACCAATAAGGAGAAAGGTCAGAGTGATGGCACCAAATTCTTTGGCCTCTGAATGAATGAACAGCTGACTTACCCTATGCTAAATTTTCTTGTTTGCCATAACCAATCTTTCTTTCTTTCTTTCTTTCTTTCTTTCTTTCTTTCTTTCTGAAAAGATGTACTTAGGGTCAGTGGTATGGCTCTGCCTTACCACCATCTTGTCAGTTGTGGTCTACAGACAGACAATCAGCAGGAAAAAAAAAAAGCTTAAGGCCTAATAAAATGCAGTAACAAATTGAAATTCTTTTCATTAGGGATATTCAACTGTGCTTCGAATACTGACATCAGGCTCTGCTACTTTTGCTTTAGAATTCTCTACTTATCAAGCCATGAGTCCTCAAGACCAAAGTACTCTGCTCAGCCAGAGAAGTGGGTTGGCCCAAGTGCTTTAGGACCTTGGGAACATGGATTAATGCCTGGAAAAGCACGGGCTGCTTCATTCTCAGTAAGAACGCTGTTTTTTTCATTGGCTGGTAAATTACTGCTTCCGTTTATGGAAAGAACTTGACAAAAGATGTAGATAATGGTATTGGAGCTGCCATTCTCACTCTGTGTGAAATGTACTGTGCTGTAAATGCCCCCCAACTGTGTGCCCTGGTTGGATCCCTGACTTCTGTTACTTTGATAAAATAACCTGACCAAGAATCTTATAAAAGAGTTTGTTTTGGCTTAAGGTTCTGAAGAAGGGTCCACAATTGCAGGGATAGTAAGGCAGCAGGAAGCTGAGAAAGCCCATCTTTAATCTCAAGCAAAAGCAGAGAGTGAGAACTAGAAGTGGGGCCAGCCAGTGAGCTCTCCAAGTCCACCCAGTGATGAACTCAAGCAAGGCTGTACTTCCTAGACCTCCTCTAATAGACCCACCCACTGGAAGCACTTGTCCAAAGGCTCGGGTCTGTGTAGAACATAATTGCTCATTTAAAATTGCCTTTTTACATTTTTCCCTTTGAGTGTTTTACCTACATACATGTCTGTGTACCATGTGTGTGCCTGGTGCCTTTGGAGGTCAGAAGTGAATGTTTTCATCCCTTGGAACTGGAGTTTGGATAGTTATGAACCACCATGTAGATCCAGGAATTGAACTCAGGCCTCTGTAAGAGTAGCAAGTGCTCTTAAATGCTGAGCCTTCTATCTGGATCAACATTTCTCAGTTAAGCCATCACAACAATGAAGGCATTCATGCAGACGTTTGGAATATTTGAGTGGTATCACAAAGCTTTTCCATTTATATTTTTAAGCTGCTCACATAAAAGATGCCAGTATTCAGCGTGTGATACAACAGGTAGTCAATCAATAAAAAGATAGTTTATTAAAAAAAACAAAACAAAACCTAACAAATAGTTTTACATGATTTCAAAATCAACATGATTATAGTTCAAGCTGCTGAAGCCTTTTCTGTTCACTTTTTCACTTTATGCTAATGGCCACAATGTCCAGTAAAAAGAGGTTGTGCAGTTATTCCACGGCTGTTGACAGATAACAAAAAAGATGTTTTAGGTTGGTGGCTCTCCCATCTCACATCACTTTAGCAAATCATCCCATCCCCGCCCCTTCGGTGACTTACTGTTTCTAATTTAAGCACTTAACCCCTTTAAGATGGCAGTTATACTAAAATATATCTTATGGGTTTTACTTTCTCCCCTGCAACAAGGAATGTCCAACTTCTACTAGGTAAATCACTACTTCCTAGGTGACATTTTTATTTATTGCAAAGCAAAAAGCTGAAGACACTAGGCACACACAGTGCTAGACTTTAATAAGAGATCCTAGACTGGAAGGGAGTGCCTCTCACCTGACCATTCTGCAGCGGTGTCTCACCAGTCTGCTGTAGGCATCATCTACGTCAATGACAGTTTCAGGACTCCAGAGTCTCTCACCAACAGCGCTTGCCCGAGGCCTGAAATTTAAAATATGTGTCTGCCAAGGCAATTTAGATTTCTCCTTCAATTAAGTCATCTATTTAAGGAAATTCTTCAGCGCTTTCCTAGTTGCATGGAGAATAAGACCTAAGGCATCTTTTAAGGCAGTTGGTACCCTTTAATTCCTTACCATAATCTTGGAATAAGGTTAGTTGCATCCACGTATTCTCCCCAGAGGCAAGCTTCTCCACCAATGACAAGTTGTTTCTGCTTCTTAGAACCTGCATTAAAGCAGTTGAAGGGAAAGCAGCTAAGCTGTACAACACTGGCTTTCTTTCTGTAGTCACTCAATGTTACCTTCCCACACCCTACACCCTGTAGGCAGCAGAAACTTTACTCCCACCCTGGCTCAGTGCTATTCAACAGACATGGAAGCCTGTGCTGACTCAGGAGGAGATACTTTTCATAGGGTTCTGCACAAACTCCTTTGGACACCTCCTCCCACTTCCTATTATTAGTGGCGTGCCAAGAAATACAAGTTGGGATATGAGCTTCATTTTAATGGACTATGACCACTACACTTATCTTTGGTTTATATTCCTTAGTATTTAATAACAGAACGAAAAAGAGTATCTAAGAATTATTTTTTCGAGACAGGGTTTCTCTGTAGCTTTGGAGGCTGCCCTGGAACTGGTTCAGTAGACCAGACTGGCCTTGAACTCACAGAGATCTGCCTGCCTCTGCCTCCCAAGTGCTGGGATTAAAAGCATGTGCCACCATTGCCCGGAGTCTGAGAACTATTTTCTTATACTTATGTTTGATCCTCAAAATGCTTTGTGGAGAAAAATATAGTTTTCAGAGGATCAATATTTTTTGAGATTTTTAATCATAACATCATTTTCTAAGCTAAAGACTGATAGACAAAAACCGTATAAATTAGAACTGCTAATAAAGTGGTTGAAAACCCAGGACTACACAGCCTGAAATCCACAGAAGAAATGGTAACCTTACTTAGATGCCTTACAGAGTTAACACAGCCAAACATCTCTCAGATATAGAAAGCAACTCCATGAAAATGGAGGCAAATCTAAGTGGCATCTACTTATGTATTATTTTATTTAGAGAGCACACTGTTCCTTTCAGAAGTTAAAATTATATCAAATGTTTACCTTTAATAAAATCAAAGACCAGATATAAAACGGATAATAGGCATCCAAGTTAGATTTGGGATGAGAGAATGAAAGTTATGGAAGAAAGTAGCAGTAATGATGGTTGCTTTACTTACCGTCAAATTTAAGAGGCTCTACTCTGTAGTATTTTTTCCAGTCTTGCCCGTAGCTAATGATGTCCAAGTACCAAGGAGCAGAAAGGATTGCTTTGAAGCCAGATGATGTGACTTCTTTTAGGTTCGCCAAATAATTTTCATTTTTCCACACTTCAACCACTGTGTCCGGCCGAAGCTAAAAGTGCAGATGGAATCACAGTATTAGGTCTAGCTAAAACAATCTTTAAGGCCTTGGTATAATTTCTAAGATCTTAGAAAAAAATCATATATCCTATTTTCTTTTTCCTAACAGTCAGTGCCATATGCTATTCACGCACTATGCTTTCATTGCTACTCAAATTTTCTTCAACCCTTAAAACTGGATATTTAACTTTTGTCTAAGCTAACACCTCAGAGAGGTAAAGAACTCAGGGTAAGATGTGCTCCTTGATCCTATTCCCGACACACTAATATTTTACTTAACCTGGAACCATGAGACTATCACCAGCCCCCCAGAGAGGTAACAGTGGTAGCTGCACTTGTGAGATCCACTACAAATAAATAATAAGTAATTGTGTCAGAACAAATATTTCTTAAAAGTGTATATTAATTTTACCTATTTTCAAACCACTTTAACACTATGTTTTGAAAAAGCTCAGGCTGGAGAGTTGGCTCAGAAGTTAAGAGCATGGACTGTTCTTACAGAGGTCCTGAGTGCAATTCCCAGCATCCACTTGGTGGCTCACAATCATCCCTATGATATCTGGTGCCCTCTTCTGGTGTGCAGATATACATGGAAGCAGAATGTTGTAGACACAATAAATAAATAAAATCTTTAAAAAATAAAAAGAAAAAAAAGAAAAAAACTCTTTTGTTGTCTGTTTTGCTCCTAAAAACATAAAAGAACTTAATTAAAAATACTTCAACTTGTGAGACAGCAGGAGTTGGGGGAAGAAATGAGAATAAAAAAGTGAGTTGTCCATATTACTAATGGAGTCATATATACTATAATTGTGAAAACATGTGTATGGGTAGGTTTGCCATCATGCTCTAATCACTATACCCTCAAGAAAGTCTCTCTGAACCTGGAGCTATGCTGGAGCCAGCAGATCCCAGCAACCTTCTTGTCCCAGTCCTGACAGTGTTTGGGTTACAGGTGCACACTAGGCCATGCTAGGCTTTGTTGTTCTTTGAGACAGTCTTGACTGTCCTGGAACTTACTTTGTAGACGAGGCTGGCCTCCAACTCACAGATCAGCCTGGCTCTTCCTCACAAGTAAGTGCTGAGATTAAAGGTGTACACCATCACCGCTCAGCCAGCTTTTTTTTTTTTTTTAATTTTGTTCTTGACAATTTCATATATGTATACAATGCATACTGATTAGTCTCTCTCTTGAATCTTACATCCCTTCCCCCAACTAGTGACTTGGTTTGTGAGACCACTGGACTGCTGTGATCTCTTGGACCTGGTAGGGTCACCAATATATACATATATATATGTATATACTGAAGCAATGCCTCCTCTCCTTGAATCTATCTGTAGGAGAGAGTTCAGCATTGACGAAATGGAGCCCTGCAGCCCTTCCTCCATCCAACCTAACTGCTGATGAACATCCAGCTTTTAGATAGGTGCTCAGATGGTACAGCAAGCAGTCTCACCCACTGAGCCATCACTCCTGCCCTGAGTGGAGTTTTCACAGTTCTTACCTCTACATTATCATCAAAAAGCTCTTGCCAAACAATGGAGCCTTTCTTCAAGGATGTAATAATATCCAAAATGCTAAAATTGGAAACATTGACAGTTATTTAGGATCACAAAGTTAACGCTCTTCAACATGCATGTTTTCTACCAGGAACAGCTTGCAACGTTGACAAGTACTGTACCTCACGATAACATAGCTATATAGAACCAGCTAAAGTTGGGTAGGAGGCTAGGTAGAGAGACAGGCCAAGGTTAAGGGGCTTGGGAAATGGAAAAAATTCTTTGACTTTAAGACAACCTGAGATATGTCTTGCTGACTAGAGACTGCCTCCAAAGAAACTACACAGAAAGTATGCTACCTTAAAATACCACAGGCAAGATTATTAAGATTAGTGCCATACTCAGGATAAAAACATTTCTTACCCTCTTATAGAAAACCTGACTTAGTTTTTAAATATTGATCCATATTTTTGTCTTCCTCATATGTAAGCTTCCCCTTATCTTATAGATCACCTCTTTAAACAATGCAATCCCAAAGTCCTCCAATCACGTCCATAGCCTCTACTGAACCACTTAGGTACTGCCCCCCTGACCGAAATCTTCCTGGATGCATCTGCCCTTCTAATTGAACTGAAGTATTTCACTGTGAATTGTGAGAGTCAGCCACACATGAATGGAGATCCCTCAGGAGATGCCTCAGGGCTGACAACTTCAACCCTGAGCTTTGTTCCCCATGCTTGTGACACATCTTTACAGAACAGTGGTTCTCAATCTTCTAATGCCACTTTAATACTGTTCCTCGTGTGACCTCCAACCATAAAATTATTAT